AGAAATTGAACATTCAAAAAAGGTTTTTAAAATAATTAAACAAGTAATACATAAATATATACAATGAAAAATCAAGAAATAAAGAAAAAGTATGTATTAGTTAAACATGAAAATTTTTCTTTAATACCTTTGATTTTCACTTTCCTGTAGGTTACCATTTGAAAGTGCATAGTAATTGCTGCTTAGATATGTATAATCTCAAAGTTCTCTTTCATCTTCATAACTGTTTGTACTCTTCTTCACTCTAATCCCCCATTCCTATTTGCAGCAGGGAAAATTTAAGATGAATCCTATCTGGTAGATTTTATCTAGTAATTTTTTAACTAGTTTGGGTATTAAAATCTTAGTCACTGCTTAGTTTAAGGTCCATCTTTCAGAGCTTCCACACCTTTCTCATTTTTTAAACCCCTGTTCCTCCCTGGACATACTTCTGATTTCACAAAATTCACCTGCTAATTGCTAGGCAGTTGCAAGAGGGGAGGAAGGTCACCTTTTCTGAAAGAGGGCTTGTCAGTGGAAATGGGATCATTATGTTGCTATTTTGTGGTTATTTTTCAGCTTGCTGGAATTGCTAACATCCTTACTAATCTAATCATTGGCACTGTTGCAATTGCCGATGCCTTGGCAGTTGGTTTTGTCAGCCTAAACTGAGTCTAATACTACTTTTTTTTGCAGTATGTTCGATGGTTGCTATGGTCTGAATGTGTCCCCCCAAAATTCATACGTTGAAATTTCTCATTGCCAATGTGATAGCACTAAGACATAGAGCCCTTAGGGGGTGATTAAGTCATGAGGGCTCTGCCATCATGAATGGGATTAGTGTGACCTTATAAAAAAGATAGAAGGGAGTGCCCTAGCTCCTTTGGCCCCTTCTGCCACATGAGGGCACAGCCTTCTGACTCTTCTGTCATGTGAGGACACAGCAAGTGGCTCCATCCATGAAGCAGAGAGAGCAAGACTTCACCAAATGCCAAATTTGCTGGAGCCTTGATCTTGAACTTCCTAGCTTCCAGAACTGTGAGACATAAATTTCTATTATTTATAAATTATTCACCAAAGGTATTTTGTTATAACAGCCTGAACAGATGGAAACAGTGGTCTTATGTGTCAACTCATGTCCTGCCTTCTTAGGCATTCTGTAGGTTCATGCAAAACCCCATTTTACCAAACTCAGCTTCCTGTGCAATGCCACTGGCCTCTTTCTGGCTCATCAAGTCATTCTGCCATCTCTTTAAAGTCTGGGGCCCTGGATTAGGAATGCAGAATCTGATGTTGTTTATTTTTGTTCAGGAGCACTCCCAACCTCAGGTTAACAGTTTGATGAGTGTTGATGCAGTTTGGATGTGTTATCCCCTCCAAAACTCATGTGGAATTTTGATCCCCAATGTGGCAGTGTTGGAAACTGACTGAGTCATGGGGGAGGATCCCTCATGAATGGATTAATGTTCTCCCTGGAGGAGGGGGGATAAATGAGTGAGTTCTCACTCTATTAGTTCCCATGAGAGCTTGTTGTTTAAAAGACCCTGGCACCTTCTCTCTCTCTCTTGCTTCCTCTCTCTTGCTTCCTCTCACCATGTGATCTGCTTGTACCCACTGGCTGCCTGCCACTTTCTGCCATGAGTAGAAGCAGTCTGAGGCCCATGCCAGATGCAGCTGTCCCAGAATCGTAAGCCAAATAAACCCCTTTTCCTTATAAATTACCCAGTCTCAGGTATTTCTGTTATAGCAACACAAAACGGACTAAAACAAGTATCTTTCCAGAACTTTATTTCTAAGCATGTCTAGGTATATGCATACATGTAGATGTATTTAGACATGTATGTACATATATATAATTTTTAAATATATAGGACCATACTGTATGTGTTTGTGTAGTATAAATATACATACATATATGTATGTGTAAATATATATTTATATGTATTTATATATTGTATCTAATTTTTATTTTGGAGATTTTCCATGATAGATTGCTTGTTCTTAACCAGAGGTTGTACTACCCTCTAGAAAACATTTAGAGATATGACTGGGGCCACTACTGGTACTTAAATGTCTGGGTCCAAGTACACAAAATATCCTGCAATGCATATATTCCTCACATGGTGAGAAATTTTTCCACCCCAAAATGCCAATGGCATTCTTGAGAAACACTAATATAAACATATCACATTCTTTTTAACTACTGCATAAAAGTCTGCAGTATAGGTGTGCCATAATTTATTAAGTCACTTCCTACTGATGGGTATTAAGCTACACCTTTCAAATACCATAGTCAGATTTCCCACCCTCTTAATACTAATACAATGGGGATTAAGTTTCAGCATGAGTTTTGGAAGGGACAAACATTCAAATCATAGCAATAATGCATACAAATATTAAATATTTTATTTCGACTTAAAGTATATGAGTATATTTTTATTTAATGATCCTCTGATGAAGAATCAAGGCTTTTTCTTTGAATATGGGTTTTTTGATTGAAGATTCTTTTTATCTTTTTTTGTATAAACTGCACCCGCAAATGCAGTGTCCATAAGGATTTCCCTTTTGAATTCCTTAACATGGAATAAGAACTGAAAGGTACGTGAGAAGCAATCTAAATGGAGAATCATTTTAGATTTTTTTCAGTATCTTTTCTAATGGTTTGCATTTATCTCACCTGCACTACAGTCATAGCAGTTTTTTTAAAGCAAATTTAAGTGTTTCTAAATTATTTACTTTAGTTTTTCTAAAATAGCAATTCTTTTCTTCATACTCATTGGTTCAAATAATACATGATTAAGTTATAATAATAAATAAAACTAATATAAATAAGTTTTAGAACAGATACAATTGGTTCTTTGTGAATATAAACTCAACTGGTGGTAGAAATATTGTACAGGTACTATAGAAAGTAGCCTGCTAGCTAGGGGTGCTTGGTGTACTGTGGAGATGAGTAGGCATGTGATACAGAAAGAAAGAATAACATCAGTTAATCTGGAGTCAGTTAAGTGGAAGCCCATTAAAAGAATGTGTATTCTATCCACGGACTACTGACTTCATTTGAGCATGGGGAAACCATTACATCACAGCGTATCTTTTTAGACTAATATTCTTTCTTAGGTAAGTGTGATGTAGCTATAAAGCTTATCACAAGAGAAAGATCAGTTAGATGTTGACTTCTTTGCTTTATTTATATATTTTTTAGTAATTATAAAACTAACTTTAAAAACATAAAACTAGTTAAGTTACAGACATGGAAATAAAATATTATATGTTCCAGTCTTAGTTTAGGTGGAATCTTATAGATTATAATAACCAATTCCATTTTTTTTTTTTTTTGAAAAACAACATGGGAATAATTGTTGAAGAAATCCAAATTTAGCTTCGGGTTGAGCAAAGTTCTACATACTTTTAAAAAAAGTTTTTCTTTATCAGATACATGGTTTGCAAATATTTTCTCCCATTTTATAGGTTGCCTTTTTATTTTGATTGTTGCAGTGCAGAAGCTTTTTAGTTTGATGTAGTCTCACTTTGTCTTACTTTGTTTGTGCTGCTATAACAAAATACCACAGCCTGGATAATTTCTAAAGACAGAAATTTATTTCTCACAGTTCTGGAGGCTGAGACGTCTAAGATCAAGACACTGGTAGTTTTGTTGTCTGGTGAGGGTAATGTCTCTGCATCCAAGGTGGCACTTTGAACACTGTGTCCTTACATGGCAGAAGGCAGAAGGGCAAAAAGGACGAACTTCCTCTGGCAAGTCCTTTAATAAGGGTACCTAATCCCATTCATGAGGGTTCTACTCTCATGACTTAATCACCTGAAAATCCCACCTCTTAACTACTGTCACATTGGCCAAGTTTCAACATGAATTTTAGATGGAGCGCAACACTTAAATCATAGCATGGTTGTTTATTTTTCTTTTGTTTTCTGCTTTTGGTGTCATATCCAAAAAACCATTGCCAATACCAAACCATATATCTGATAAGGGGTTAATATTCAAAATATGTTATAAAAACTTAATTAAATAGTAAGAAAACAAATATCTGGATAAAAAATGGGCAAAGGACCTCAATAAGCATTTCTCCAAAGAAGACACACAAATGACCAACAGGTTTATGGAAAGATGTTCAACATCACTAATCATCAGGGAAACAATGTGAATCAAAACCACAATGAGATATCACCTCAAATCTGTTAGAATGGTTGATATAAAAAAGACAAAAGATAGAAAGCCTTGGTGAGGATACGGAGAAAAGGGAATCCTCGTACACTGTTGATGGGAATGTAAACTGGTACAGTCATTATGGAAAACAGTATGGAGGTTTCTCAAAAAACTAAAACTAAAAATAGATACAGCAATCCCACTTCTGAGTATATATCTGAAGGAAATAAAATCAGTATCTTGAAAAAATATCTGCGTTCCCATGTTCAGTGTAATATTATTCAAAATAACCAAGATATGGAAACAACCTAAGTATCTTATATATACAATGGAATATTATTCAGCTTTTAAAAAGAAAGAAATCCTCCCATTTGCAATAACATGTAGGAACTTGGAGAACATTATGCTAAATGAAATATGCCAGACACAGAAAGACAAATATTACATGGTATCAAATATATGTGGAACCTAAAATAGAGAAACAGAGTAGAATGGCGGTTGCCAGAGGCTGGGGGTGGAGTGGGGGCTGGGAGAAATGGGGAGATGTTAGTCAAAGGATACAAACTTTAGTTACAAGATGAATACACTCTAGAGATCTAATGTACAGCATGGTAACTATAGTTAATAATAATGTATTGTATACTTGAAATTTGCTAAGGGAGTAGATGTTAAGTGTTCTCACCATAAAAAAAAGTTGGCTATGTCAGGTGATGGATAAGTTAATAAGCTTGATTGTAGGTATCATTATACAAGGTATACTTATAACAAAACACCATGTTGCACATGTTAAATATATACAATTTTTAATTGTCAATCATACTTCAGTAAAGCTGAGAAAAAATGTTTGTCTTTTCAGATGATCTTTGGGTGGTTTCAAAAACCCTAGACTTTGAACTGGATACTTTTATTGCATGTAGTGCTTTCTATGGACCATCATCTATCAATGAGGTAGAGCTTCTACCTTTGAAAGGCTATTTCCCTTCTAATTGGCCCACTAATGGTAAGTACCTTGCTTATCTTAATTTATATTTAAAAAGAATGATAGTCATAGGATATACTATGAGCAAGAATGCTGTGTGTGGGATTGTTTTATTAAAGCCAACAAAAGGGAAATACCACAGAAGGGTGTATCTGCCTGCATGGAACCAGTTTATCAAAAAAGTTTAAAAGATTGGAGGGGAGGCAGAAGCTCCACAGAGATCACACGCCCTACAGTGCTGGCGCAAGACCCAACAGGTAGGCCTCACTGCCGCCAACCGACTCCATTCCCAGCCCGGCTGAGTGCACGCAGAGCAGGGAGACGTATAGCAGGGGAGGTGGAAGCTCTGCAGAGACCACATGCCTGGCGGTGCTGGCGCATGACCCTGCAGCCCAGCCGAGTGCACGAGGAGCAGGGAGATGTCCAGCAGGGGAGGTGGAAGCTCCGCAGAGACCACACGTCCTGCAGTGCCAGCGCGTGACCCAGCAGGGAGGCCTCACTGCTGCCACCCGATTCCATCCCCAGCCCAGCCGAGTGCATGCGGAACAGGGAAATGTCCAGCGGGGGAGGCGTAAGCTCCGCAGAGACCACATGCCCTGCAGTGCCAGTGCACGACCCAGCAGGTAGGCCTCACTGCTGCCACCTGACTCCATCCCCAGCCTGGCCGAGTGCATGCTGACCAGAGAGGCAGCTCCCCAGAGAGGCCCAAGACCCGAGGCAACCACACACACAAGGCACTAGTGGCCAACTGAGCAGACACTGAGGTAGCCATACCAAATTGGCAACCCCAGCAACATCCTACCCAGACAATACTATCAAACCAGTGGACTGTGAAACCCCCTACTACAATGGCTAAACATCAAAGGAAAGATACCAGAAATATGAAAAATCAAGAAAGTACACCACCAAAGGGTAATAACTCTCAAGCACTAAATCCTATAGAACAAGAAGCCATTGAAATGTCTGAAAAGGAATTTCGAGTGATAATTCTAAGGAAACTGAATGAGATACAAGAAAACTCAGCTAGACAACATGATGAAACGAGGAAAAGTATACAGGATCTGAAAGAAGAAATGTACAAAGAAATCAATGCCCTGAAAAAGAATGTAGCAGAGCTTGCTGAGCTGAAGAATTCATTCAGCAAAATAAAAAACACAACAGAGAGTTTAACCAGCAGGCTTGCAGAAATAGAAGAGAGAACTCCTGACCTTGAAGATGGGCTGTTTGAAATAACACAGGCAGACAAAAAAGAAAAAAGAATTAAAAGCATAGAAGAAAATCTAAGAGAGATATCAGAAAACCTTAAGTGCTCAAATATCCGAGTCATGGGTATTCCAGAAGGGGAGGAAAAAGGAGATTGCATTGAAATCATATTCAGCGAAATAGTGGCAGAAAACTTCCCAGTTATTGGAAAAGACACAGATCTTCAGATTCAGGAAGCTCAAAGATCCCCAAACGTATTCAACCCAAAAAGGTCTTCTCCAAGACATGTTATAGTCAAATTGGCAAAACTCAAAGACAAAGAGAGAATCTTAAAAGTTACAATAGAGAAGCATCAAATCACCTACAAGGGAGCCCCAATCAGACTAACATCAGACTTTTTATAACAATCCCTAAAAGCCAGAAAGGAATGAGATGATATATTCAAAATACTAAAAGACAGAGATTTCCAGCCAAGAATACTCTACCCCACAAGGCTGTCCTTCCGAAATGAAAGGAAAATAGTATACGTCTCAGACAAACAAAAACTACGGGAGTTCACTACCACATGACCACCCTTACAAGAAATTCTCAAGGGAGTACTGGGTTTGGTACCTGAAAAACAACTACCACTGCCATAAAAACCCGAGAAAAATCAAAACCCACTAGTATAATAAAAATGGCATCCATGAAGAGAAAACAAGCAAACAAAAAGGCTATCTACAACCCAAGGAACCAACAAACACAGAAAATAAACAGTAAATCAGAAAGAAAGGAACAAAAGACACCTAAGACATCCAAACAAAAATCAATAAAACGCTAGGATTAAATCAACACTTTTCAATAACAACTCTTAATGTAAAAGGCTTAAATTCCCCAATCAAAAGACACACAATGGCTGACTGGATTTAAAAGGAGGACCCAACTTTATGCTGCCTTCAAGAGACCCACCTCACCCATAAAGACTCACATAGACTAAGAGTGAAAGGATGGAAAAAGATTTATCATGCAAACAGAAATGCAAAACGAGATGGAGTAGCTGTTCTTATATCTGATAAAATAGACTTTAAACTAAAAACCATAAAAAGAGATAATGAGGGCCACTACATAATGATAAAAGGATTGATCCATCAAGAAGACATAATAATTATAAATATATGTGTCCCCAGTGTTGGAGCAGCCAGATTTATAAAACAAACTCTATTAGACCTAAAGAAGGAAATAGACACTAATACCATAATAGCAGGGGACCTGAACACCCCACTGTCAATATTGGACAGATCATCTAGGCAAGGAATCAACAGAGAAACACAAGATCTAAACAACATACTAGACCAGTTGGACTTGGCAGATATCTACAGTACATTCCATCCAATGACCTCAGAATATTCATTCTTCTCATCAGCACATGGATCATTCTCCAGGATAGATCACATGTTAGGTCACAAATCAAGTCTCAACAAATTCAAAAACTTTGGAATTATCCCATGTATTTTTTCAGACCACAATGGATTAAAATTATAAATCAGTAACAAACGAAATTCTGGAAACTATGCAAACACATGGAAATTAAACAGCATTCTACTTAATGATACATGGGTCCAAGAAGAAATCAAGCAGGAAATAAAAAAATTTATTGAAACTAATGAAAATAATGATACATAATACCAAAACATGTGGGACACCGCAAAAGCAGTACTAAGGGGGAAATTTATCGCATTAAATGCTTACTTCAGAAGAATGG